TCCATCCACCCATCCAGCCGTCCATCCATCCTTTCATCCATCCATCCACCCATCCAGCCGTCCATCCATCCATCCACCCATCCATCTACCCATCCATCTGTCCACCCATCCATCCATCCATCCATCCGTCCATCCATCCATCCATCCTTCCATCCATCCGTCCACCCATCCATCCATCCACCCATCCATCCACCCACCCATCCATCCGTCCGTCCATCCATCCATCCACCCATCCACCCATCCATCCATCGATCCATCCATCCACCCACCCATCCATCTGTCCATCCATCCATCCCTCCATCCCTCCACCCATCCATCCATCCATCCATCCACCCATCCATCTGTCCATCCATCCATCCCTCCATTCCTCCACCCATCCATCCGTCCATCTGTCCATCCATCCATCCATCCATCCATCCATCCGTCCATCCATCCACTCATTCGTACATCCATCCACCCATCCATCTGTCCAGAAAATCCCTGGATGGATGCAGGGGCAGAATAGCCTCACTTGGTCTGCTGGCCGTGCTTCTTTTGAGGCAGCCCAGGATACAACTGATTTTCAGGGCTGTAAGTGCATATTGCCAGCTCAGTTTTCCATCCACTGGTACCCCCAAATCCTTCTCCACAGGGCTTCAATCCATTCATCCCCTGTATTGCTATTGGATATTGCCCCAACTTGGCCTTGTTGAACTGCTCTGGAGCTTGGAGGTAGCGGATCCTGAAAACAAAAAGCTCTCCCAGACAGACACCATCAGGAATGGTCTGCTAGGGAATTCTTCCAAGCAAGTGCCTGTAGCTGATATTTATTCGTTACCAGTTGAATTAGGTGATCTCAGAATGGCTCTTCCAACCTTTCTTTGATTCTGATAGTGATCAGAGACTGAAATAGTGGACTCACAGAATCATAGAATCATAGACTCATAGAACAATTCAGGTTGAAAAAGACGCTTGGGATCATCGAGTCCAACCATTAACCCTGCACTACAAGTTCACCCCTAAACCACATCACCCAACACCCCATCTAAGCGACACTTGAACACATCCAGGGATGGCGACTCAGCCACCTCCCTAGGCAGTCTGTTCCAGTGTCTAAGTGGTGGGATTTACATCTTTGGAGGCAGGCAAACTCCCGTCAACAAGTTCTTGATCTTACTGGTCTTGCTTTGAGCAGGAAGTTGGCCTATAGACCTGTTAGGGTACCAACTAATCTCTATTATTATATTATTCTATCCTGGATTTTATGATATGGGTGTAGGTTATCCTAAGGCCTCCTCAGAATTAGTACAGCTAAACGGAATAACTTTGGCAGGAACAGAAAACGTTATTGTCAGCTTGGGGACCTTAGATCTGGGTAGAATTCTGACACTAACTAAGGCTCATATGTGGCTAGGGAACGGAGAAACTAGGAGCAGGTTCTGAGACCCACAGCTATCCTCAATTTCATTTTTCCTGGTTTTAGGCTCTGTGCCTATGACCACTTGCTCTGAACTCTCTCCTCTCTTTCTTCAGGATCACCCAAATCATAGAGATGAACACTAGTAAATTTATTATGCCCTGTAGGAATCACTTTTACAGCATAGAAAGTGGGTTGAATAAACAAGAAAAGCCCTAGAAAAAGTTTCTAGGACGATATATCTCTCCAGTATATTGTTCTCCTAAGAGCAATTTTGAATTCCTGGTTCCTTAAGCAATAGATGACCGGGTTGATGAGAGGTGTCAGGACAGTGTATACCACAGAAACCAGTTTGTAGGAGCTGAAGGAATCAATAGACTGAGGCCTGGCGTAGATAAACAGGGAGGATGTATAGAACACTGTGACCACGAGCAGGTGAGAGGCACAGGTAGAGAAGGCTTTGTGACGTCCCTGGGCTGAGGGGATGCCCAAGAGAGCGGAGATGATGCACATGTAGGAGGCCAAAGTCACAAGGAGTGGTACGAGAAGGATGAGCAGGGCCAGCAAGAAATCCATGAGCTCAGCTACTGATGTGCTGGTGCAGGCTAGCTTCAGTAAGGGGGAGACATCGCAGAAGAAGTGGTTGATGATGTTGGGCCCGCAGTAGGTCTGACGTGAAATGAAGTAAACCTTCCCTGTGGAAATGAGGAAGCCGCTCATCCAGGAGCCAATGGCCAGACGGGTGCACAAAGCGTGATCCATGATGACTGGGTAATGCAACGGTTTGCAGATGGCCACGTAGCGATCGTAGGCCATGGCAGCCAAAAGAGTGCACTCGCTGCAGGCCAGTGCCAGGAAGAAGAACAGCTGAGCCATGCAGCCTGCGAAGGAGATGCCTTGTCTCGTTGTCACCAGGCTTACAAGCATTTTGGGCACTGTGATGGAGACATACCAGATCTCCAGAAAGGAAAGATTGCCCAGAAAAACATACATTGGCTTGTGAAGCTGGAGATTTGTCCAGACAATCACAAGAATCGTTGCATTTTCTGTCACAGTCAGTTTTTTTTGAATATAAAAGAGACCATAAGCTTGATTTCCTGTGTACCTGGAAAACCAACGAGAATGAATTCAACCACATGGGTCAGGTTATCTGAGGGCATGCTGAGAGTCATACAGAAATTGCCATGGACTTTGCAGGATAAGCAGATGTAGCAGCAGTTTGAACATCCACTCAAGCTGGTTTGTATGCACAGACCATGACTTGAAAAGCTGTGTTTGTAATTAGAGTTGTCTGGATTGAAAAAAAAAATAAAATAGTTGTAATGAGAGATTCTTGATGAAAAAAACCCAACCGATAACAACGACAGCAATTTCACAAAGTACTACCAAGGCACAAGGGGAGTTTTTTGAAGTAGACTGCAGGATTTCTCTAGGGCCACTTTTGTAAATGCAATTAGGATCACACACAACTGTGAGTTACATTTCTAATCCAGAGCTTAAGCATCTCATGGTACTAACACAGCATGACCTGGAATGTGCTACATACATGGGAGGGGGCAATGCTTTGGGTATTTTATTTTTCCATGCTCTATTGGTTTACACGCGTTTTTCACCCAACAGCTACGTTTCTCCTCACCCAGAAGTCAACCAGCTACTGTTGCAACACTATTCTGGAGACTGATCTTTAGGGTCTCTGAACTGTTAGGTACACAATTAATTAACCTATCTCACTAAATCTTAGTTATTCTTGTGTCATTTAGAATTTCTTCGAAGGATTAATATTTCCTGTAAATGCCCGTAGTATAATTTCTAGATGTACTTCCATCTCTCCTTCTGTTAGTCTTTAAATTGAGACAGGCATATATCTGCTTAAATAGGGTAGGTGGATTTCCTTGTGAATAATCTGGTTATGCAGTGAATACAAAAGTTACTGGAGGGAAAAAAACACTGTTAAGAAGGGACAGTATCTCAGAAAGGACAACAGAATGAATGAATCCTCCTTCTAAGTATTGGTCTTTCTCCTTTAACTAAAAGTGGACATTCACATATGGAGTTAGCATGTCCTGAGTAAACAGGATGGAATTCATCACACTGTGTATGAATTATATATGAGTGATTCAGACACTTAAGCAGAAGCATGTTTTGAGATGTTGCAGACATCCTGGCATTGCAGCTCTTGGTCTGGAAAATTATGGGATTCCCATAGGTCCTGTGTCATATCTGGAAAGAATTTGTGAAACATTCCAGAACATCTCAAGTGCTTCCTATGGGTGTGTTTAGAATCTTGAATCCCACCTTCAGTGTCCATGTATGAGTTCATGTGTGGTGTCTTTTGTGTGCTGTCATTATTTGGGTCATTCATACAGGGCAAAAAATGAGTACACAGAAACTACAGGACATTCAGAACCCTTTGGACTGACTCCTGCCGGGTGGGGAACAAAGAGCCCCTCAGACATCACTGAGAACCTGTGCATGGACCAGCAGATCAAATCCCTCGTTAATACAATCCATGACTCTAAGCCGTGATTCACCTGGCCTTATATAAAGTTCTAGTTCTGAATGGCTTAAACATTTCTGGACACAGCCAGCATTTCATACAAGTTGCTCCTTTTAGGGCACTCATGACAGCAGCTCTGTCTCTATAGACAGTGCAACTGCAGCTGCCACCGGTATCTCCGACAGTCCCTTGGAACTGGCAGGTATAACAGGGGACCTGCGGAAGAGCTGTGCCCTTCCAGAGCAGGGCTGAAGGCTGTGCAGAGCACCACAAAAGGTTTCAAATGGCGCTACATGTGCGTGTGTTTAAGTACCTGAATTCCTCCTCTGTTTCTAGGTATGATTAAGAAGTGAGGTAACAGGGATTGGCTAATTTATTTTTGTTGCCATGAAGAATGAGAAAGATTATGCCACCAAGCTTTCAGCTCTTGCTTCTGACAGATGTAGAAAATTAAAGGTGTAAGAAACTTAACAGGCACTGTGCAGATGTCTTGGATAACCTGCAAAAGGCATTTAGTTTTAGCAATTGTATTGAGCCACTAAGATTAATTTCAATGAATGCGTCCTGTCTTAGAATCATAGAATCATAAATGTTGGAAAGGACCTTAAGATCATCAAGTCCAACCTACGGCCCTACACCGCCCTAACACTGAACCATCTCCTGAAGTGCCACATCCAACCATTTTTTAAACACATCCAGGGATGGTGACTCCACCACCCCTCTGGCAACCCATTCCAGTGCTTCACTACCCTTTCGGTGAAGAAGTGTTTCCTAATATCCAATCTGGATGATTTAAGTGAGGTGACAGAAATCCCATGATTAGACACAACCAACAACAAGTACATAAGCTCAGTGTCTCACATGCAGATAACTTATTAAATCTTACATGCAGCTGTTATGCTACATTTTCAGCAAACTGCAAGATTAATCCTTTTCATAAATGTGCTGAGAGCACATCACACACACACATTTACACACATGCACACACACACATTTACTACCCATTCATCCGTGCTTATACCAACGTATCAACACTATCTGGCTGGTAATAATATTTCTGTCTATATATTAGATGTATGTTTCCAATATCAGACGTGTGCTGGCAGAAAAGGACATGTTATGCTGACAGAGAGTAGACTGAATATGCCGACATTACTTCCATGGTGGGAAGACTGTTTTATCCCATGACTCCTCAATTGTCTGTTTAATATTCTACTCCATATATCTATCCATCTGTCTATCTGTATGCATAGCTGTGAAGAGAAATAAAAGCCATTTTCTACCTTACATGTGGCTGTAGATATGAATATATGTGTGCATGTTCTAGAATTAAATATTTATGTGCAATATTTCTTAAACCATGCCAATTTTTTAACTTCTCAATTAACTGCAGTTTAAGGAAATGTGATTATCAAAAAATGACAAGCAGTTTTCATCAGATTAGTTTAATTTGGGATCAGAAGGTCTGATTCCATCTCTTAACTGGGCACAGCTTTGCTCACTGTATTCAGAAATACTGTGGTGCCAATGAACCATGAACCTCTACACAGGAGAAACTGTTAGATTTGATAAGAAATCTGCTCTGTGGTAACTCACAGGCAAGGAGAAATCTCATGTGAGGTCAACTTCAAGATGATTAAACTTTACTTATAAAGGAAGTCTCACCAATTCAAATATTAAATACATATTTTAATCAATAAATCCTAAAGAAGATTCCCCCTCTATAGCATGAACTACATGAAGAAGGCTTTAGAGTAGTTGAAGTGAATTGTATACAAAGAGATACTGACAATAGAGACATTGAGAGTAGAGATAAACTACAGAAAGGGGATGTGTTGTTGGTGTTTAATGTCATAGTACGCAACTCTGAGGAAGAAGGAAGAAAGGAAAGAAGGGAAAAATGATGAAAAAATGAAAAATCAGAAAGTGGGAGGGAAGGAAGGACATAAAAAGGAAGGACAGACAATGAGAGAAGCTGTTTCTTTAATAAATGTGCATTAATATAAATGCTAAAACACATAACACTACTTACTTGAGAGAAAAGGATGAAGATGAACATACCAGCCTATTCCATTTTTCTTGATGCTTGTTCTTAACAACTGATGAAAAGAAAAAAATGTCACGAGGAAAAATGTACTTTAAATTATGAAAACAGAAATTTGCAGGAAAAAAATAAAGTTTCATATATAAAAATATTGAAATAGTTTTCTATGGAAGTTCGAGATCAATAAGTAGATGAGGGTAGGTTGACACTGTTTCCTCTTCTGTTGCATGGCAGAAATGAACCACTCTCTCTTTAGGGACCAGTCTGAGCTCCATATGCTTCTTGTTCTCCAACATGAGAGGTAAAAAAACCCATTCCTCCTGTGGTTAGTCATACTGCTTTAATTTTCTTCAGCTAGACCAAAGTCACAGTACAAGAACCTTTACTTTGAGAACTGAAGCAAATCAGATCCACACAAAGTCTGTGCAAAGCAGAAAACACTAGTTTATGCTTACGATAGGTAGGACTTGGCTCCTCTATATATTTGCGTGACCTAGGAATCTAGAATTTCCTTTATTTGTTTTGTTTTGAATGAGTACATTACAATGAGATTGTCTGCTGCTTAGAATCCATGGACTGCCTTTAGTGACTGACCCCTGACTGGGAAGAAAACTACTGTGATCAGCCTGGCATGTACTAAAGAAGAAAGCAAGTTCTCTAAACACAGGCATGCAGTGATATTCTATGTCTTATGGTATTTGACCCTTCTGTACAAGATATTTGTTAAATTACACTCCTCAGTGGCAGAAAGAAGCCAGGTGGGATGTTCCGGGCTGTCTAAAATGTTGCTACCTAATGATATACAGGCACATGGATCCTATCCTTTCCTTCTGTTCTCATAGAACAATTTACGCTGGATGGGACCTCCCGAGATCTGAAAGACAACCTCCTGCTCAGACTACATGCAGTCTAATGAGTGCAAAATCGAGAGAAACAAACACTTCCTTTGACTTACTGGCTATGCTGCTGTTTATACAGCTGAGCTGCTTTTCTGCCAGGATGCTCCATTGACTGATATTCAGCTTGCTGCCTACCAAGACTCCCAGATCCACTTCTGCAGAGCTTTTACCCAGTCAGTCAGTCACCTGCCTGTGTCACTGACAGGGGTCACTCCTCGCCACATGCAGGAATTTGCGTGTGTTTGCATCCCTGTTGAATTTGAAGCAGTTCCTATTGGCCGGTTCTTCCAGCCAGTCTGTGCAAGAGTCACTCCCCTCCCTCTCTCTCCAGCTGGTGTCATCCGTAAAGCTGATGGGTAAGCACTCCTTCATCTCCTTCAGGTCGCTAATAAACACGTTGATCAAAACAAATGTGCAGACAGACCATTGCAGATAGACTCATTACCCATTGAGTGATCAGTGGGTAAAGTGGACCCATTGATCACTTCAGGTAGAGTATGACCCATTGACTACTATTCTCCGAATGTGCTAATCCAGCCAGCCTTTTTAACCATCTAGTCGTCCTTCCATCCAGACCGTAAGTCATAACTTGGCTACAATATGATGGAAGACAGTGTTGAAAGTCTTAGTAAAATTCAGGGGAAATTGCAACTTGCAGCAATTAGCAGTTACAGTGGGGGTGACAGGGACTGTGGGTATCAAGTGTGCCCTCAGCCAGTT